GAAAACAAACTTGGCAATATTTGTAGTTGTCTTCCGTCATTCAATGTCTGTTTGTGGGCAAATATACCTCCCGTAACAAAGTGTTCCAAGAGACAGGATTCAAGATAAACCTTTCCAAAGCAGAAACTATGATCTGGAATTGGAATGAAAGCTGTGATGTCAGGTACCCTAAATATATTATACAAATTCAGAATGTATAATTAATAAATACTAAACACTTCGGCGTATCGATCAGTTATGACTAATTCAGTCTAGAAGATATGAATGACATACATAGCGTTCAACTCGTTCAGGAATATCGAAACTATCGGCTATATACAACCATTTTCACGGATTAATAATTAAAAATGGCTTCAATATGAATACTTTGGGTCTCGATGGTCAATACTTCATCATATCTTAAAGACTGGCGCTACGGAATCACAAACCGCATCTGTTAAAAAGCGGAAGAATAAAATGGATAGAGTATATAACACGAAGAGAAAATGACATAATAAATATATGGACGCTGAGACCCGTAGCCCATAAGGGTCGTAGGGGCACTAGGCGTACCACAGCCGCAGAAGCAGTGGTGTCTCTTGGTGTTGACGAATGGAATAATTATCAAGGTGTAAAATAGATTCTGGTGAGAAAAATTGTTTTTTGGTTTATATTTTATTGTTATATATGATGATATACAAATTTTTATATACCAAAACAACTGTTCTGTTCTCCCGAGAATTCGTCCGTCTCGTACGCGTCCGTCCCGAACGCGTGCGTCACTGAAGACAATAAGATAAACGCCTTCAGGTAATAAAAAAAAAGTCCTGTTCATCTGCAAGTTTATTAAATAGGCGTTTATCTGGCTGTCTACAGGTACGCATACGTTCGAGACGGACACGTACTCAAGATGCAAAACAGTAAAACGGCGATGCTATCCTAAGGTTTCTTGGTTTTGTTTGTTCAAAGGCATATCAACTCCTTATGGATCATTTAATGCCGAAATTTAATTTTCTTGTGAGCTTTGATGTGATAAAAATAAGCGATATGTTATTCTGCTTTCACAGTTGAATACATGGTAGATGATACTCAGCTTTTGGGCATATACATGTTGTGCGAACATGATTACTACTGGCGGTGATATGTATTTTTCATGCTGTAGTTTTTACGAAGTTATATTTTGGAATACAGTTTGATTTCTTTAAGAAATTGTAGGATATTATCAAGACACATTTAATGAAAGATTTCTTTCATGTTGGCTGTTTTGTTGATTTTTAGCGTAATTTCTATCTCTATCATTTATTTAATGCCGAAATCAGAAAGTTTTTAGCACAATTCTATGGCTTTAACTAAATATATTTTAAGCGTAATAGTATGCCATCAACTACAGATAAAATGCATTGTTGGTCATTTTACTATAGAATCAATTGCTACTAATTATACTTTAAAATGTATTGTTGGTCATTTTACTATAGAATCAATTGCTGCTAATTATACTTTAAAATGTATTGTTGGTCATTTTACTATAGAATCAATTGCTACTAATTATACTTTAAAATGTATTGTTGGTCATTTTACTATAGAATCAATTGCTACCAATTATACTTTAAAATGTATTGTTGGTCATTTTACTATAGAATCAATTGCTACTAATTATACTTTAAAATGTATTGTTGGTCATTTTACTATAGAATCAATTGCTACTAATTATACTTTAAAATGTATTGTTGGTCATTTTACTATAAATATGGATTTCTATAGTTTCATAGCGTTTTGTTTTTGTTTGGGGAGTCACTATTTGCCTATAGTTGGAACCCAAACAAATGCTATTGCCCCAGGTCAGAGTGGATCTGGGAGCATAAGCAATAACTCACCCAATCAGAGGCCATGTGCTAACGTAAGGGATAAATTTAGCAGGATGCTAAGAATAAGAAGCTGGTTCTGCTGATAATTAAATACTAACGGAAAAATGGTTTAAAAAAACGGTGACTAACCTAAAAAGTAACTAAACTGAAAAAAAAAAAAAACGACAAAGGAGAAGTAAAACAATGCACGCTTATACTGTGGTAGCAGAACAACAATGTTAAGAAAACTAAGCGGAAAAAAAACTTATGTGTGACGCGTTTTGTTCTTTAGAACTTCATCGGACTAATACTATGCTTCTGTTGATGTAAACACATGTGTACGAAGAAGTTATTTATGTCATAGGTAGAAATCGAATACGTGAGTTTTGCGATAAACCTATAATTAATACCAGATAATTAAGAAATTCTGTACAAAGTTAGAATTCACGGTTGTTAACAAAATGATCAGCCCAATATCCAAATTACAAATTGGAGATACCAAAATCATACAAGTAAAACAAATATCTGGGAAATGTTTTAACAGAGGACGGAAAGTGTGACACTGAAATCTAAAAGCATATTGAGATAGCCAATGATTTAATCCAAAGGCTGAGTCGGATATTTAGTTGGTTGATTTGTTTAACCGAATATCAACTCCTTACTCTATTTAATGCCGAAATTTAATTCTCTTGGGAGCTTTGAAATAATTAAAAAAAAGGATATGTTATTCTGCTTTCACAATTGAATACATGGTAGATAATACTCAGCTTTTGTGCATATACATGTTTGTGCGGACATAATTACTAAAGGCGGTGATATGTGTATTATGTTATTTTGGAAAACAGTTTGATTTAAGAAACTGTAGAATATTTTATGGATTAATGTTATGAAAGAGCTCATGGTGGTTGTTTGGTTGATTTTGTTTAGTGGCATATCAACACCTCTATGGGTTATTTAATGCCGAAATCTAAACAATAACTTAATATATTTTGAACGCAACTGTATACCTTCAACTATAGATAAAATGTATTGCTGCTCATGTTTTGGCGGTTTTTTTTTAATATACAAATGTATTACTGGTATATTTATTATCAAAATTTATTTTTATACTATCATAGTATTTTTGATTGGGGTTTCACTATTTGCCCTAATAGGTACTACCACCTCGGATCAGGATGGACCTGGGAACAACAGCAATTAAGATGTCATTTCATGCTCTCTCAAAACCTCCAGTCTTCCGATCAATGGGCTTGCTGCCGGATGCAGTTTATCGTCATACCGAGGAAGCAGAGTATTAAGAAACAGGACAATTTCGTTAGAAACAAAGAAAACAGTACTGAAATTTTACGCGATATCAGTCCTCCTATATGGAAGTGAGCGCTGGAACACAATCCTCAAAGATGAAGAAGAGAACTTGAAACAACAGAAATCTTTTTCTACAGAAGGATGCTGAGGTTACTGTGGATCGAACATGTAAGAAACGACGATGTTTTAGAGAAAATGGAAAAGAAAAGGAGAGACAGAGAAATTTCTAGGGCACATCATGAGGAAAGAGGGTTTGGAGAATATGATACTCACAAGGACAGATTGCAGGCAAGATGGACGAAGGAAAACAGCACATCACTTACCTAGGAAGTAAATGGATGGCGTAACAGGGTTTAGGAAAAATAACAAACAGGCAAAATTTATTGAGAGCTACAAAGGACAGTAAATTGTGAAGAGACATGATTGTCTACGTCCTAAAGGGTCACGGATACACAGAGAAGAAAATCATCGCATATGGGCAACCAGTGTCAAGTGAAAAATAGATTTGTCTTTTAAAGACTTACAATTAATACTGAGTTTTTACTTTTCATTTTTAATTAATAACAGATTTTATGGCGGACATTAATGGCTTCTCAATGTTGTTAAGCAACGGCACACTTAGGAGCGAATGAAAATATCACGACACACTTAACAAAATTTTAAAGAGTATATATTTAAATGTTATGAAATAAAACTACAGATTTAAAAAAACAAAAAAACACACAAATAGGAACTTACTTTATTTCAATGTTTCTATCCAGCTATTTGTGCAGTTTATTTAGTGTGAAGACAAAGCCTGGTGTTTTTTCTTCAATGTTTGGTCGAACGTGCGATAAGCAGACCCTCATTTCTACCCAGTCAAAGAGTAGTGGAAAATAAATGTCTGTGTACACGCGTGTCTATGCCTTGTGTTTATACAATGAAGTACTATTAAGTTTTACTTTATTCACAATAAATTTACTTCTCTGTTAAGTGGCTAAACTAATTAATCGTCTGAGACAGTGTTTTTCAACCTTTTTAATTAACGGCACACCTAGGAGCAAATGAGAATATCGCGACACTCTTAGCAAAGAATATCCATTTAAATGTTATGAAATTAAACCACAGATTTGAAAACAATACACCTACAAATATGAAATTACTTTATTTCAATGTTTCTATTCAACTATTTGTACAGCTTATTTAGTGTGAAATCTGTGCCTAGTATTTTTTTTTTCGCGATTTCTTCAATGTTTTGTCGAATGGCCGACAAGCAGGCCTGCATTTCTTCAGTTAAACTTAGTCTTTTTCGCTTTTTGATGTTGTTTACGGTTGAAAAGCCTAATTCACATAAAGAAGAATTAGAAAGTTGCAATAAAACTGATAAAGCCTTTTTTAGCTAATGTAGGATACTCCATTTGTATTAAAACCTAAAATGCATCAATGGGTACCGTTGATTGTTTTATTTTGAGCCCTCGATCACTAGAAATGGTGGCCAATTCTTCTTCTTCATATAAATGAAGTCCAATATTAGAAGGAACATTTATAAAGTTATTTCGAATCAATCATACTTTTGTGTGTTCAATGACGGAAAATAATAATCGATGTTTTCGTCGAGCAATTTCAGATGGGTCGCCATAATAGGGATCATTTCTTTAATGCCGTAGTACACATGAAAGAATGGTGTAAAGAATTACTTGAAAATAGTTTAATATTTATTCATTTATTCAAATAGTAATGCTATGCATTTCTACTTTCACATACGCATACATGTATGCCGTGAGAATATTTCGCGGCACACTTAAGAGGATCGCGCAGCACACTAGTGAGCCGCGACACGGCGGTTGAGAATCATTGGTTTCATGTCTTTTTCCAATGTTTCTAATACTCTACATGTTTTCGTTCTGTTTACAGACGAGGAAAATAAATAAAAATAGTACAGAATTACAAACAGTATCTATCTATCTATCTATCTATCTATCTATCTATCTATGTATCCTTCAGTTTGTTCCTAATTTTCTTTCTTTCTTTCTATCTATCTATCTATCTATCTATCTATCTATCTATCAGTTTGCTCCTAATTTTCTATCTATCTATCTATCTATCTATCTATCTATCTATCTATGTATCCTTCAGTTTGTTCCTAATTTTTTCTTTCTTTCTTTCTATCTTCTATCTATCTATCTATCTATCTATCTAACAGTTTGTCTCTAATTTTCTTTCTATCTATCTATCTATCTATCTATCTATCTATGTATCCTTCAGTTTGTTCCTAATTTTCTTTCTTTTTCTTTCTTTTCTTTTCTTTCATCTATCTATCTATCTATCTATCTATCTATCTATCTAACAGTTTGCTCCTAATTTTCTTTCTATCTATCTATCTATCTATCTATCTATCTATCTATGTATCTATCTATGTATCCTTCAGTTTGTTCCTAATTTTCTTTCTTTCTATCTATCTATCTATCTATCTATCTATCTATCTATCTATCTATCAGTTTGCTCCTAATTTTCTTTCTATCTATCTATCTATCTATCTATCTATCTATCTATGTATCCTTCAGTTTGTTCCTAATTTTCTTTCTTTCTTTCTTTCTTTCTTTCTATCTATCTATCTATCTATCTATCAGTTTGCTCCTAATTTTCTTTCTATCTATCTATCTATCTATCTATCTATCTATCTATCTATCTATCTATCCTTCAGTTTGTTCCTAATGTTCTTTCTTTCTTTCTTTCTTTCTATCTATCTATCTATCTATCTATCTATCTATCTATCTCAGTGTTTCTTATCTATCTATTTATCTGTCTGCTTTACCTAGACTCTATGAATCCAAATATATCGAGGACACAAATGTCTGATAAAAAGTAATTGATTAATATTAAAAAATACATACACACACGCACAAACACACGCACACACACACACACACACACATATATATATTGCTCTTCAACCGAATTGAATTGAGCTTTTCGGGCCACTGACATGTTTCGCATAGAAAACATAAAAATTTCCCATCCTCTCTGCCGTGCGACGATAGCCTAGGAGTAGAATCTCTGACCAGATCGGCCAGGTTTCGATTCCAGCTTGAAGCAATCGGACAGTCTCTTTGTGGATATATATATATATGCAGATATGTAGAAAACTAGGAAAGAACACGTTAGGTAAATAATCAGTTCTTTAATATTTTTTGTTTTTATTTTTTAAAAAAACGGTGCTCCATACAGAAGTAGAGCTCAAATTATAATTATTTTTTAAAAATTATAATTATTTTTTTTTTAAAATATGATTCTGTCATATTTTTTAACAATAATTATAATATATATATATATATATATATATATATATATAAAAAAAGACAGGATGTGTGTGTGTGTGTGTGTGTGTGTGTGTGAATGCACGGCCGCAATTTTCGACGGATTTGCGCCCAAATTTACATGCACATGCTCCAAGTTAGCGGGAAGGCCAAGATCGACTTCGCATTTCCCAACTCCTATCGATAGTGAAAATAATCGATTTTTTCATGCTTCTACGGCAGTTTACATGTAGTTTGCGGCCATTTTCTACTGGCTAGAGTGAGAGCCTATAGCTGGGTGCCACGAATAAGCAGGAAGATTCTATTGGCCAGCGTGTGAACCAACAGCTGACTGACACGAATGTTAACTAGCATGCTAGCATGCAAAAAAATCGATAGCTGCATTCGTCATAAGTGGGGAAAATTTAAATCTGCATGGCACTTTACACCAGTTGGCTCATTCGCTTGCTTAAACTCAACGTTGATTCTGATTCCGCAGAACTGGGTTCGGTGTGAAAAAGTATTTGTTGTTAACATTCTTTTTTATTCGATTTTTCCATTTACGAGTCCTTTTTTAAAGCTGATCGTTTTGTATTCATTTTGTTTAGTTCTTTTTTCGTAACAGATTTAATGTTTAGTATAGAGCTTAGAAAAAATTCGCAGTGTGAGATAGGCAAGAAGTAAGGCATGTAGCAACATCAGCACGTCAAAGGGCACTCCTTTAAAGGCAAGGAAGGGTAAAAATATTTTTAAGTCAAGTGATAGCGATTGCTGTATGAGTCGTACGATTTTTGAATCAAGCAGGCAACGCCGGACCATGCTGCTAATATATATATATATATATATATATATATATATATATATATATATATATATATATATATATATATATATATATATATATAGTTTATTCAAATTTAGGTAATCCGTATGGGTAGACCTGAGGAGGATGATATCCAGAGAGCTCAATGTAAAATTCAGAGCAGATATGTTTGAATAAAAGACAGACCACGTTAAGATTCCATGTAATAAGCTATTTCACCATAACCCCTTTAACAGGGTTCTGGATCATCAGACTCACTTCGTTAACTTTGCGTATACTTGATGAGGTCCGTAAAAAACGTGTGAATTTTCTTTTCATTCTTCATTTCAGCTTTTGGAAGTAAAGTCTGATCATCCAGAACCCTGTTAAATGGGTTATGGTGAAATTGCTTATTACATGGAATCTTAACGTGGTCTGTCTTTTATTCAAAAAAATATATATATATATATATATATATATATATATATATATATATATATATATATATATAATATATATATTAATGAATCTTGTTTAAATTGAAATTACCTTGTTATATGTGGTAAATGGCTGCGCTGTACATCTTCAAAAACATAAGGTAATGGATTTAACCGTTTTCTTTTGATTCTTCAGCATATTTGTGGTCATCTATGTCGGCTTGCGAAAGTAGTATTTGAATTATGACACTTTGTGTCCTCCATAAGTTTCAACTGACCTTTCTAAATGATGAACATTCGTGAAAGTTCCCAAATTTGAAAGCCTTGATAAGCTAGTGACATTATCGCTTTTCTATATAAACACGTGCAACAAAATAAATCCTTACATTTGCCTTGATAAAGCCTATCAGAGGACGAAACGCGTCGACTAAGAATGTTGTTTCCACTTGTCTTTTTTTTTTATTCCTTTACAGATACACTCTATCTGAAAATAATTTATACGCACACACAAACACACACACGCATAACATATATCTGTGTGTGTGTGTGTGTGTGTGTGTGTGTGTGTGTGTGTGTGTAAATTATTTTCAGATATATTGTATCTGTAAAGGATATATAAAGGATATATAATATATATATATATATATATATATATATATATATATATATAATAAGTTATTATATTCGAACATTTAAGTTACCACTAGAAAAATGCACATTTTTTTCGATGACCAATTAAGACACCTCATCAGGTGAGGATCAAAGATTGTTATAAACGATTTTTTAAAAAATGCTAATTATGAAACATCACTTCTTTTTATATTTTTAAATTTTTAAAAATATAAAATGAAGTGATGTTTCATATATAGTATTTTAAAAATCGTTTATAACTATCTTTGATCACCATTTGTGTGGATGTCTCAATTCGTTCTCTCTACATTTATATATATATATAATGTGCTGTACATATGAATCATAAATTGCTTTTTAATGTTTGATTTCTGTCTTAATACGTAGCAGCAATATCAGTAAAAAAATATAATAGCAGAATTTTATTTTAACTATTCCAATTAATACTGGATTTTGTATTAATGATCCTGATTTTATTTTCGTCTCAAACGTTTTCAAAGTGGTTTCGTATATTGTTTTGTTTTTGCATTTTTTTTTTATTTGTTTGTTTATTTATTTATGGCTGAATTTCCACTTCTTTTATTTTAACATTTCATTGACTTTTAATCATTTTTACATTCTCAAAATGTCTACACTTTGTTCTATCTTCCTCTTCACCAAAATCTCCCTCTCTCTCTCTCTCTCTCTCTCTCTCTCTCTCTCTCTCTCACACACACACACACACACACACACTGACTCACGTGCTTCTAATCCTTGTTTTTTCTCTCTATACACTTCGTTTTTCCTCGCTTCATTATTTTATTCTAACCTTCTATTCTTTATCTTCCCTTTGTCAAATCTATTGAGATTTTGTTTAAGTGACGAAAGGTCATGGTTATAAAAATCTAACAATAGTCACAATTTGCCGATGGCGTATCTACTTATCTATTATCATGAGAATCAAGAAGGAAAGGACGAAAAACGGAAGAAGAAGAAGAAGAAGAAGAAGAAGATAGATAGATAGATAGATAGATAGATAGATAGATCCTTCCTGCTTATCTAGTTAATGTAAGTGTTGTTCCTGGCCTGTTCCCTGTTTCCTCTTTGGTTATGATCCAAGTCGAGATTTCCAACCTCCCCAGTTTGCTTTTTGTCCCCCGCATTTTTTTTTATCTCGACTGGGTATTTATTTTATCCTTTCCTCTCCCTTAGCGAGAGAGCCCCTTAATTTTGTCTGCGGCCTCATTTCGTTAGGTTTGGACGGGTCCAACTAACATCAGTTGTATTTAGTTTGTGTAATTTTGTTATATTTTAGTTTGTTTTGGGGTTCATACCCTCATCCTTCATTGCTTATCATCAACAGATTTTTATATAGAATTTTATACTCAACAATTTTTATGTGATGAGGTGTTTTGTAGGTTCCTTGTGTGTGTGTGAGGTATTGTGGTATATGTAGGATTGAATGATGATGGAAGAGTTCTCGTGGTTGATGTGAAAGTTGTAATGAATAAATGGATCGTGAATTTGATTAGCTGGGTATACGACAGCCTCAACCCATTCTCCCTTTTAGACCTTGTGCCACAATTGTTGTATAACATAACATCACGCTTTCATTGTTTGCCTTGATAAAGTCGGAACGAAACGCGTCGGTAAGAACTCTTCTCATTAACATTTACTACTACACACCTAGAGTAATATGCTCTATAAAAGGAGCGACATAAGTTAAAAACAAAAAGCAATGATTTTAATAGTTTATGAGGAAAACAGAAGTAAAATCTTTTGAAAATTATTTAATATAAGCTAAGAAAAAAAAATCTGTAAAAGTGAAATCATTTGAAACTATTTATTTAATACAGAGAAATAAACACGTGTGTTTTGTGTAAACTTTAGCAACACATTACATTCGCGTCCTGTGTAAGACGATAAACTCCGTACAACATTAAGGATTCTGACCCGGGGTGGTAGCACCTGTTAGGGTACCATCTAAAATAGTTAACCCCCAAACTGGGGTCAAAACACCATGAAAATGTAAAAATAGGATTTAATACCAACAATAAATTTTTTGAGGGAAATTATTACCAGCAATACACTTTTGAAGAAAATAAATATACTAGCAATACATTTTTGAAAGAAAAAATATTGACAGTAATACATTTTTGAAGGAAAAAGCATTACCAGTAATACATTTTTTAAGGCAATAATATTACCGGCCATACATTTTTGAAGGAAAAAATATTACTAGTAATACATTTTTGAAGGAAAAAAATTATTAATACAGAAGGAAAAATTATTTACTAAGGAAAAAATATTACCAATACATTTTGACAAAATATTTTACATTTTTGAAGGAAAAATTATTACCAACAATACATTTTGAAGGAAAAAATATTACCGGCAATACATTTTGAAGGAAAAAATATTACCGTAATACATTTTTTGAAGGAAAAAGTATTACCAGCAATACATTTTTGAAGGAAAAATTATTACCGGCAATACATTTTGAAGGAAAAAATATTACCAACAATACATTTTTGAAGGAAAAAATATTACCAGTAATACATTTTTGAAGGAAAAATATTACCAGTAATACATTTTTTGAAGGAAAAAGTAATACATTTTTTGAAGGAAAAAGCATTACCAGCAATACATTTTTTGAAGGAAAAATTATTACCGGC